CGGGTTTGCAGGCCTTTAACTACCTGCTTTTGTTTAGTGTGGCAATTGATGATCTGTACATTAAAACAAAACAGCAATGTCTTTTTTATTAAATAGCTGATGACACTGACCATTGTCATAGTGTTTTCCATCAAAGGCAATTTTTAAGGAATCAGACTACAAAATTAGAGTATGTTCAATGATTGAAACAGTTCAATGATTAATCGATTTACTTGACTGATGAAAAAATGAATCGTCAAAACCCCTAAACATTCTCTGGTTCCAGCTTCTCAAATGTGAGAATCTGCTTCTTTTTCGAAAAGTTTGTTGGATGAAATAAATAAGGCATGTGAAGACATCAACCTGGGCTGTGGAATATAGTAATGGGCATTTTGTTTGCTAAATTGTGACATTTTGTACACTAAATGCTTAATTGAATAATTAAAAACAACTGATAATTGTTGGTTATAGTCCTATGCCCAACACAGCAAATCAGGCTGCAACAAATGGATCATAAAATAAAGCTGTTTTTTTGACAAAAAGCTTTATATTATGATCCTTTTATTGTGTTTCGGTGTGTGTGGTTTACAATAATGAATGCCTTATAGCTGCTAAAAATAGACGTCACATAGCTTTATGTGCTGAATATTCACATCACGTGCAGCGTGGCCATTGAAGGGCAGTTTAGTGGAAAAAAACAAATGTTGCTCCCTTCCTCTTTTCCTTGACCTTTCTCTTCCTCAGGCTGTCTCCTGCTTTCCTTCCTTCTGACTGACTGACAATGACCCTGTCTGAGCTCCACAGGCCCCGCCTCCATCCTATCCTCCTCTTACTGTGCGGTGCACACAGGGCTAGCTTGTCACACCGAGAGCCCTCCTGTGGCGCCTCCTCTCTATAATAAGAGTAGGCTGTAGGCTTACCAATTCCAAATAATAGCTGCATAATACCAGGACATCAAACTACTATCATATTCTTTAATTATAATAAAAATATCCTGCTCAGAACTACCGCTTCATAACATCATATTTTGACTTAATCTCAGATGTTTAGCGAAGTTTGCGCTGTTGCCAAGTATTTTACTCTCTTTGCACACACATCACACAGAGCAACATTATTACCTTCACAGCTAAAATACAGACGTGACTGCTTTTAAAGTCGGCCAGAGTCAGTATTCAGAGGCGGGAAATGTAAAGGGCTGCAGCGGCTCACTTCAAAGAAGCTCCATCACAGAGCCGCAGCGCATGCATGACTTTGACAGGCGGAAGGAAAAGTAGTTCCTATCAACCGAGTATAATTAGACCATCCTGGTGACAGTAAGATACTAATAAATAATAAAACACACTCCAAATGACTGACTTTATATCGATCCTTTTATATGAGTATCGATCCTAGAGCAGGAAATGTCAGTATCAGAAATATCGATACTTTAGTATCGATCCGCATATCACTAGTGCAAACTGACAGGTTAGCGACTTTATCCTGTCATTTTCTGTCATTACAGAGACATGTGTTGCAGTATGAGAGTCCTACCTGAAGAGAGGCTGTGAAGCATAAGCGAAGGTAGCGTGGGTGCATGGGGACAACCAACCCAGGGCCCCGGCTGGTAGGGGGCCCACTACGTGGACTACAACGTTTAGCTCAGTTGATTGTAGTGGACACGAATTAAAAATATCGGTACGACTACACGCTATGATAAGAGAATTCAGCAGCTCTTATCAAATGAAACAGTCCCTTCACTCCTGGTTTCAATGATAAAACCACCACAAGAATGACAATCACCAACAAACACACTAGATTCTAATGAGACACGTTTTAATAAACATAAAACATAAAGTAACATTTGTATTTCAAACAAATGGCAAACTTATTGGTACATTTTAACAAAACTCCCTTCACCCTTATGCATCATGGGAATTCTGAGGGAGTGACTTAGGCTGCGTGTGCGCAGCGGTTAATTTACAGCAATTTACATTCTTCAAAGCTCTCTGTGGATCGCTTTCGTTTCTCGTCTTGAGGGTGTAGCAACTACCACAGGGAGCATTTCAGAATAAGAGTGTACCTGCCGGACTTTGCCGACATGTTTAGATTTTATTGATGTCGTGATTAGTGCTTCTTTTGAGCTTCTACTATGATTAAGTAGGCTACATAGTGTTTCTTTTTTGTCTGATTTACAACTGTGTTTATTGTTGATATATACGATCGGAAGTCTGTAATGGGTATTTTATTTTGAAAATTTAACCGAATTTTCTGCCGTTTCTGTGTCTGACTTCCTGCCGTTCATCTGCTCTGTGCTGCTGACGCTGGGACGCTTCCTTGACACACTCAGTCTATGGACGCACTGCAGCGCTTCTGGTGTGAGCACAAACATTTAGTAGAAAGGCTGCTCTGGCAGCAGTGAAGCAGACAGACTCTGTGGACTTTCGGAGTGAGTCTGGGGTCATGTAAACTTGGATAATATGACCAGGTGGGCCCACGATGAAGCTCCGCCCCACTGTGCTGAGAGTCTAGCTACGCCCCCGCTGTGAAGTGTTGTTAGGCGATACGAGGGCCCAATCCCAATGTCCCCCTAAACCCTAAACCCACACAAATTTTACTGACGTCACTCGAAAAGTGATTGAGTGCAAGGGGCTGCAATGGCTCAAAATGCCTTGCCTTATTTTTTAGTCCTGCAGGCTCTTGCCCTACAGAGTGGAGGAGAGGTAGCCTAAATGTCAATATATATTTATAATTAATCAATAATACTATTGCTGGTCAAATACATAGACTCAAATAGCATCATCAAGCAAAAACTAAAATAAATAGTGGAATAAACGAAGTGAGTAATAAGGTAATTGCATTCCTCTGACTTCATGTGTTCTATGCACCATCTTAAGTTAAGAAAACAACAATTTAACATAAGGTGTCGATGCTTGTTTACTGTTTTCTTCTTCTCTTATAACGCGGATTTGCCGTGATATTTCTCTCGCTTCCGGGATTCCCCTGGTAACCCCTGTGTTTCACGTCATACCGCTATGAATTGTGGGCAGTTCCCTCAGCCAAAGTCTGCAGAAATGCGGAATTACGAAAAGGGGCTATAAAGCGCTTAAAATGTCCGCGAGAGAGCCCTTACGCACTTGACGGTTTGACAGTGGGACAGCTCTAAGCCCTCACGGACTTCCCGGGAATGCGCCTCAAAGTCTGTGAGTCTTTGAGGGTGGACATTGGGATTGGGCTGAGAACCACATACAACATTATTTGACAAATTGGGTCAGATTTGATGAATTTAGCGCGAGGATACACATGTGACAACGTCCGGTTTTCAAAATAAGTTGTCTATACAGTATGGAAATAAGATTAATTGGATTATATTCACAGAAAGTACAAAACTTATTACATCATGTGTACATTAAAAGTAAATGGACGTTCTTGGGCCTTGGACCGACCCACTATAGTCTCTCCAAATCCTGTGGGAAACACTGAGTAAAAAGCACATTTTGACTATTTAATTTATGCAATGTTAAAAAAAATAATAAATGGAAAAAGTGTGAATGTACTTGTTCGGTGTTCAGTATTCGGCAAATTATTACATTAAATTCAGTTTCTGCTTCGGCTAATATTTCTCATTTTTGGTGCATCCCTCCCATCTTCTGTTCTGTTGGTTCTCGTGGAGATAGACTTGTCGTTTGCAAGAGGGTTTATTGGACACACTGGCAGACGTTGCGCTGGTCAGCCTGTTTGAGGATTGGGATTCTGTTGAGAAGTGGGTTAAGCCCCACATCTCTTTATATTTGGGCAGGGGCATTACAATTGTGACTGTAAGGGGGTTGATCAGCTCAGCAGCATTGTTGAACCCTAAGTGTGCCTGGGCTTTGCCACTAATATAATGCAGGCTTTACTTCCCGGAGCGGTCTGCGTCTGCTGGTTATATGTTAGTTGATGGGAATATTAAACAGTTTATCTGCAACTTTGAAATTATAAATGTGACCAAACATTCATGATAAACCTTTACAGGGGATTCAACATAAGAAAGTTTGATCACAATGCAGTTAACATGGATGATTATTTTTATACAACCATTTTTCGCGGTTGTGTGTGTGTGCTCGTGTGCGCGCGCGCTTTGGATCATGTGCCTGTATACATGTACTGTATCCACGCTGCTGCACATGACTTTAAATGTACCTCTCTCTTGTGATGTGTCTGCCAGCTGAGTTTCTATAATTACCACAGCCTGCAGCGCCACATGGGGAGCATATTAACACACACGAGTGGAGAGCAAGAACCAGAGCGAATGCACAAGTCGTACTCTGTGTATGTGTGTGTGTGTGTGTGTGTGTGTGTAGTTGCTTGAAAATGTGTTTGCAGTATCCCCGACCTCTGATGAATGTATCTGTACAATAATATATTAATAGAAGGCGTGTACTGTACTCATAGAGCATAGTATAATGTGTTCTTATGTGTCCATGAGTAATGGTTGTCTAATGTACCACATGACCTAAACAAACTATCGTCCGAAATATAGCATTGGCAACATAATGTTGATGATCATTTAGTTTAGTTCCAGCAAAGCCTCAGAGCAATGACGAGGTAATACTAGGACACAGAGTGAAACACATAGAACACATGGATCAATGATAAGTTTCTACACATTGGGTGATACATTTAAATTGCATTAATACAATTTATTAAGCAAAATTGTCAACCTCCCTCCAGGTTCGTCCTCTCAAATCTGATCCTCTCTGTTTGTTTTATACACTCTGTGAATTCAATATTTTTGGGCTTTGACAGTTGGTCAAACAAAACGAGTAATTTAAAGATGGGTATTTTCCATATTTTTTTTAACATCTTAAAGTTGATGAATGATGAATCAGTTACAATTTTGGAATTAAAAAACAATAATTGATACGGAAAATTGAAAATTTTTGATGAAGACCCCTTACAGTTTTTATTTTTAAAAAGTGGTGACCAAGATTTGTACCGAGCAGTTGAAATTAAAAAGCTTGTCATTACTCATTCCTCACCGATATATCTGATACCAGTATATCTGCAATATGCTATTGGCCACAGACCTCCTGTGAGAGAGGAACATTTTTCCAACATTTTTATTTCTTATAAGTGGGTTGTTATTGATTTGGTAGTAATTTGTTTTTAAACTGTATGATTGATGATGACCAGTGTGGATTCTGTGATTCTCAAGGGAAAATCTGCTGTGACATAAATACTGCTAGTGACTATGTGAGTGCAAAATGAGAAAAACAGTGATTATTATGACAATCAAGGTTTAAATGTTTCATATAATCAAGCAGCTGTGCTCAGTGCATACTTAATTTACAGTGTGTGCTCTACCCTGCAGTCTCCTCTTGCCTCTGTACAGCTGTAACCTCACATATTTCTCTAACTTCTGACCCCAGTGAGCAACTGGCAGCAGCACCATACACGCCCAGCTACACGGTTGTCACACAGATCACCACTGCCTGCAACCCGCACTGCAGCCCCAAACTCTCTTGTATCCACCTTCCAGGTATGTGGAAGTATGAGGTGAAGTGTATGTGAACATGACATCCCTGTCCCATTTCCTCCCACTTCTGTACTTATCTTTGGTGAAATAAACATTTTGTGTTATCTAAGACTGGCTCTGCACGCAATCCCACAAATCACGCTCAGGATTAGCAGGTACATACAGTTGGGAGAGAGGTCTGCACAGCCAGACTTTCCTGTCTGCTGCTCCTCATCTGTTTGCTCCTTTCCTCCCGATAAAGAGGGAGCCAGGATAGGTAGATTGTTGTGGTGCGGGCTGAATCCTCCGGGAGTGTTGAACAGTCATGTTATGTAATTTCCTGTCAGTGCGGATTGGTCAGGCTGTGGGTTGTTGGTGGGCTCGGCACAGTAATCTCACAAACATTATCTGTCTCCCAGAATCAGTGGTTGTTGTGTGCGGGACTCACTCATCCATGCAAGCTTTTGTTAAAAACCAACCAATCAGCCAGGCCGGCCTGTTTCTATCATAGATCTTAGGCAAAACAGTTTGGTCTTACGCATGAGGTCAGCATACTCAGGACCGGTCTATTCTCATCTGACTCATCTGACTTTTTCCCTCCAATTACTCATTACTCTATTATTGAACGGCCGACCAGCTGGATATGGGATGCGTGAATTATAGGATTGCAGTTGGTACCAAAAAAGCCTTTGGTTGAAGTGTGACAGTGCTAACTACACACTGTCACATCACATAATCACCAGGATTTTTTATAGCGCTCCTTGGCAGCATTCCTCCTTCTATAGAATGCAGGTTTAATAGACTTACGTGTTGGATTCACGTCTCAGACCAGAAGCTTCCTGTTTGTTTAGTCGACTATTAGGTGGCAGCCCTGGTAAAAACAAATGTTTAAAGTAAGATTCCGGTCTTCCCTCAATAATGTGCTGTAAGCTGCTGCATTTTTGCAGGGCAGTGTAATACTGTGTTATTTTGAAGATACAGTATAGCTAAATGTAATAAGGATATATCTTCATTACCAGCTCACTGCCATATTTTGACCGACATGTCCTACTGCATGAAAGTGAACGCAATGAATCTTAGTTTGATTCAGTTTTCTGACTGAGTGAAATCTTCTAGAAGTATCTGTGTAGACCATGACAGACTGTTGCACTGCCAACAATAGACCTTAAGCCAATCACAGCGGCTGCGAGGGGCTTTTATTGACAGTTAAATTGCTTTGGACATACTACCAAGTTTATCGCATTGATTATCTTAGAGGTTTCGGTTCAGGTTCCGCTACACTGCAGTCACACAAGGTACACATGCCTAACCTGTACTGAAGTACATCTACTCAAGTACCATACTGCAAAGTGTTTAGAAGTGGGCATTTTACCTACTAGACTTTCTACTATTAGTTCAGTTTTATGACGAAAATATGAGACTTTTGATTTTACTAGATTTTAAGAAGGCTGTAGTTATTTAGCAAATTCTGTTTTTTCAGTTCATTACTTTAAATATTTTATCTACAAACCACTTTTTTTCATGTAAAAAAAGGCACCAAATTCTCATTTCTCACTTTTGTCTAAGTACAAGTAGTTGTACAAGTACTTTGCCAACATAAAGAGTTTTCTGATCACAGAATAAATACAGGAGAGAACAAATCTGGCCAGTCTTCATTGCCAATTTATCGGTACTTAGCACAGCATACCAAAATCTGCTAAGGAAAAGTTACAACTGGTAGCTCCTAATATAAAGTGATATCTCCAAAATCTCGCGTTTCAGAAACTATAAAAAGCAGTCTTATTTTAAGTCAGTAACACATTGAAGATGATTAGATAATACTTCCCCAAATTGGAAATATGAACAAGGTTTTTACAGAATATCAATGTTTTGCTGGTTGGCAAAAAACCCATAAAAGTTTAAACTAATTAAAAGAATTTGCTTTAAAATAAAATTTAACCGAATTTTTTATATTTAAAACAAAAACTGTTACATGAAAAAACTGGTCACAACAAAAAAACTAATCCCTGAGTCACTAGTATTGGAGAGGTTTTTGTGGCGAAATTGTTAAATTTTATTGCTTCTTCCACCAGCGCTTTTATTATATAAAAGATTTTTTATAATGATGGGACACAGTATGAACATATCGACCTACTGTAGGACTGAACAGACCACCATGGAAGTAGGGCTGCACGATATTGGAAAAAACGAACATTGCAATATTTTTCTTTTCTGATATATATTGCGATATGAAAAATACAGGAAGTTTCACCAGATTACTTCAATTGCTGATGGAAAATGAGAACTGTCTAAGTTTCCTTTTCTATCAAGCAGCAAAAAAGTTGAGGTGGTTGAGTTAATTTGACTCGCTTGATATGGCACTGTTCTGCGATGTACTATTGCGCAAGAGCACATTGCGATGACGAGTTCTGGCGATATATTGTGCAGCCTACATGGAAGCCTTATTTAATTGTCTGTAATCATAGTTGTGTGTGCGGGCCAGCATGTGTTTACCAGGCTGCTGCATGTGATGGCAGATTGTAAAGGTAAACCACTGTATGCTGCGATGGTGCTTTTTCTCTTATTAATGCGGGGGACACAGGAGCTGTCGGCGCTGTTGTTCGCTGCTGGTGAAATAGTAATGAGTGTGTATAACCGAGCTGAGCCAGTGTGGTTTACAGCTCTGTTGCACTTGGAGGCAAAGCCAGGGCACATGGAGGACTGACTGGCTGAAGAGGGAGGCCACCACTGGAATAAGGATATTTGAAAGACTGAAGCTGTGTCACAATTCTTGATCTTCCATACTCACACTTGCTATTTTGAGTGCACAAGTGCGTTCATACTGACAAGTATGGCAAAATACAGTGCACTATTGAGTACCTTGATGGTGTACTTGGTCAAAAAGTTTAAAAAAGAGTGTGGAACGCTGGACACTTGACTACATAGCAGAAGGGGAGGGACCACCAACCTACCAACTTGTGAAAATGGCAGCTGAGAAAGCTGCAGCGGTTGTGTCTGCACACACAAGCAAGTAAAAGTACAGCTATTTTTATTAATTTTTTATTAAACTGAATGGAAGTCAAGTGAGCAAGCTGGCAGGTATTTTGGCGGGGACAAATGAGGTATAATGTTGGCGATATTGGTCCACCCAGTATCAGTTCGTCATTAAAAAGAAGGGGCGCAGTTAGAATTTAACTACCCTGTCGAAATTCACGCACTACGCAAGTACATAGTGTACACTGCATGTAAGTATACTTCGGAAGTATCCAAATTCATACACAGCACAAGACTCTTGTGGACAAAATGTGACATTTGAGGATGCTTGCTTCATATTTTTCACAATTTTCTGACATTTTATATACCAAAAAACTAATCAATGAAAATAATCATTAGTTGCAGCCCAATTTTTAGTAAGAATATAATCACAGCATAGTGTTTGCAGGTTACACGTACGCCTGTGAGAAAGACTTACGTTATTTAGCAATGATCATTAAAGACTTTATACACCTCTGTGACATTTACCTACACTCTGCAAATGAACAATCCGTTTGAAAAAAGCAACAGCAACACCACAAGTAGTCAGGTAGGTATCTTGTTCATGTAATTCCAGCACAAGTAAATGTGGCAGATGGTTGGCTCAGAAGAGGTGTGTTGGGAGCACCTGAGAGGCCGTCAGTTTTTAGTTTTTCTCATGACCACCAAATAACTGTTGTGCGATCTCAGCATATCATTCCTCAGCAGATATGCTGAAAGCCAGTTTCTAGCTGAAGAAGCTGTAATCAAAGTGGAAAATGAGCGAGCTCAGGTTTCAGCTCCCCTGCTTGTCGCCCTCCGAAGTAATTTGAAACTTGTAATTAAAGTTAAATGAATTAAAATCTTTGTAGCAAAACTGAAGGATGGAGGAAATCCAATGCGAAGATGACATCAAATGTTAAAATAAAAGCCTTTCTCTTGTACAGATATGGCTCACTATAACGTCTGTGAAAATAAGCTTTCTATGTTGGCTTATGATACATTATTTGTTAGATAAATAAATAAATAAATATCTTCATAAATCAGCACTGGTTTGATGAGTCAATTGCAATACTGCAAATGAAAACACTACAACAAATTGATAAATTATAATCTAATATCCCTGTGAATATTAGAACAGCGAGGATTTGGGGCACATAAAGATGTCCTGATTTTGTGATGAGACAGGAAACCATTTGTTTAAAATAGAATATATCTTTATTGTCCTTCAGGGGTTGAAATTGTTTGGTCATGTAGGGAAGATTCTGACATTTTGCCTTATTTGGGTCTTTTTTATGTGCTATTCATGCACAAGCACAGAAAAGTCTCATCAAGCTGAAAGCAGACGCGTTAAAGATCTTCATGTTGTGTGGGGCTGTGGTGGAAGTGGTTTTACATCTGGCTGTGGTTCATGAAGTCCCTTTAGACTGCATCATCACGACTTTAAAAGTCTTTCATTTCTATTTAAGAATACTTAGCCGGGGCGTGTCTCTGGCTTGTTTTCATAATACAATGTGGCTTTGCTTGTTTCCACATGAGCACACTGGCTTGTGATCTGCTGACCTTTGGAATTTCAGCTATAGAGCAGAGCTAGATGTTCTCGCTAAGCAAACAGGTCAGGTATTTGAAATCCATGCTCTTGGATGGATATTGCTCTCTCTTTGTCAATGTTTAACTGGAGCTTTATATTTGGGAATACCCCTGCTGTGTTTTGTGTGTGCAGTGTACACGTTTACAGGAGTGTGTATCAGCAACATGGCAGAATAGCAATTCCGGTTACACCACTCTTGTTCTCTTCAGGGCCAGAAGAATGCTTGACATTGTGTTCATTTGGACTTTGCATCACAAAGGTGCCGTTTTAACAGATCCCACCAATCTGTGAACACACTCTCCATTCCCTAATGTCAGTCCCATTAGAGCCAGCATCCTCGGCCATCTGCGCCGTGACTCATTTGACTGTCATGTCACCCCATTTACAGGCCGTGTTTGGAAGCCTCCCCCTCAGCCTCGCCCCAGGATACCAGACCTCCTCTGGCAGTGTCCCCCGGGGTGCGGCTTAAGGATGGAGACTGGACAATGCTGCTCCAATGTCCCAAACCCCGCCTCCCCCACCCGTGATCATCTTCCCCAGAGATTTACTGCAAAGAGAGGATGGGGGGGAGCATCTGTTCCCCGAGCCTTTTTCTTTCACCCACAGGCCTTCCCTCTCAATCAGTGTCTTTTGATATACACCCTCTAGTCGCAGTCAGTCACAGTCTCTGCCATTACTACTCTCAAACACACACACTATACAGACCGCCACTACCTCTGAGTTGCACCCCATTTTTGCTCCAGCTCTTTGATTATCTGGTGACTCAGCAGTCAAATAAACCCTGAAAATGGCAATACCATTCTATTCGCTCCAATATGTGCATTATGGACTCAATGCATCATCTTTATCTGTCTGTACAAAGATTAACATGTCACTCGCCCATATGAACCTTTATCCCTGCTCTGTGTGTGCAGGTAAGAAGCAAGACAGACCAAACCAGAGCCCAGATCACACTCAGCAAACCTGTGAGATGCTCAGGAACCACCTGACGGGTCAATACTTGTACACGTATGCATGCATGCATACAGAAGCATCCACACAAATGTGCTGAGGCGTTGAGATGGCTGAAGGAAGTGGTTTTAATTCAGCACATTCAGGAGGAGTGTGAGAGATTGTGAAAGATATTAAATGACCTTTTGGTGAGAATAAAGAACGGTTCTTCTGACATTCCAGCTCTGACCTTTTGATTTTTCTCCAACTGCTGTAGCTGTCAGCCCTGAAGCTTGTACGTTCTTATTCCTCCTGAGTATGGACTAAGGTGGTTTGATTTGGGATTTGAGAAATGTGGCAAATTGGTTCAGCGGATATTGGTATACAATATTGGTATGTGTAAACATGGAGAACACATCAAATGAGGTATTCATGTTTCTGCAGAAACATTGAATACTTAAACCTGTAGTGCAGAACGTTTGTCTTCTCCTTCTGACAGTGAGAGTTATTACACAAAACTGTTGACGCAGGCCTATGATGTATAGGCTCTGCCATACTGAGTTGCTGCTTTCACTATAGTCGCTCCCCCTTCAGCTCTGAAAAACCAATCATTGCTGGTCGGCATAAAACACATCACTGCCTGTGTGCTAGCACGGGAATGTCTCCACAGACACTGATTTAAAAACTCTGCAAATTCAGTGAACTCGTTGGTAAGGGCTTGAATGTAACGGACGTTCATTTATATAACATTCTCTCTAGCTTTAGGTCTGCAGTAGAATATTAATTAGCTTACCAAGAGAAAGCACAGCTGTGCAGAACTTTGTATCCTGTGGTGAAATGTAGGTTAATCATAGTAACTTGATGGCTACTTTACATATCTTGAGTTTATTTGACTACAGGAGCAGCTCTGAGTTCTGTGTGAGAAGTTGGATGTTACTTCAGATAAACGCAAGATTTTAAATAATAATTTTATGAAAAATTATTTTGCAAAGAAGGTCTTGGGTTACATCATTTTTGTAGTTTAAGTTGAATTTGTGGCTTTATTAATAGGTAATAAATCATTTTAGATAGATCAGTTTCAGGCCTATGTCATAAATGACCATTTATTGCGTGTCATCTTAGAGGAGGATCCAGAGGACCTAGAACCTAGGAAGTTATTCTGATGAATGGCTTATAACTAATTTATAAAGCATCATTAAATATATGGCCATTAACATAGACATTTGTTACAACGTGTAAACCCTTTCATAAAGAGTTCCTCATTGTTGTACCTGTAGTTCTTTAACAAATTGGAAAAAATAGAAACAGTTGAAAAATCTGTTTTACCAGATTTGACAGTTATAAAAGATTTACTTTGTGGCTTTTGTATTTAGAGCTGAAACGATTAGTTGTGCATTCGATTGGTTGGTCAATGGCCAAATTATCTGCAACAACCCATTAATTGGTTATATCATTTATTTTAAGCAAAAAATAACCACAGTTCTGTGGTTCCAGGCTCTCAGTTGTGAGGAGTTTATCTCTTTCTCTATTATAGATAGTAAACTGAATATCTTTTTTGGGACTGTTGGTTGGAGAAAACAAGAGATGTCATCATTGCATGCCTTTTTCATGCATTTTCTGATATTACATAGAATGATTTTGATTGATGATAAAATATCAGCACACAGTAATTGTATCGATGGCTAGACACACATAAAATGTTTTGTCACAAGTTGATATCCCACACTAGTATACAGGATACAGTGTGTCGTCACGTTGATGTTGATACAATTGGCATGGAGGAACTGATAGATAGCGATTTAGTACAAAAGGATTTTCTCTCGTGCAGCATCAGTCTGCCCTACTTACAGAGACGCCGCCGCAGCCTAACCTGCGTTCCCAGCTGGTGCTGCTTTGAAATACAGCCCCACCTCCTCCTCTTTTCCTCTCCTCTCTCTTCATCTCCCTTTGCCCCTCCCTCTCAGTCTGTGCAGAAGGCTCCACCCCTCCTGCCCCCCAACCCCCTCCCTCCTCTGCTCGTTGAGCCGCGTCTTCTCTGCGTCAGACAGCTCCATTCATGAAAAGTGTGACGTGAGCAGGTTTTCAGCGACCCGGTGACGCTGCCGGCCACCCACTCACAGCCCAGGTGCTGCGGGAGTTAGAGGAATGCCTGTCATTCTCCAGCCTCTGTCTTTCTTTTTCCCTGTTTTTCTTTGCCGTTTTTCTACATTGTGACAGTCAGTTCAGTCCTTCTCCCCTGACTTTTATTTTCCTCCATCCCTGCCTCAGAGATGAGGGTGGACCATGAATCTGAGCTCTGTCTGCTGTGAGTAATCTGCTGATGCTGTGTCTTTGCTGTACATCTGAGTGGACCCTGTGTAATGTGGAGGTACTATCCACTGCTTGTATATTTGGTGTTTTTCTTTGATTGTTCATGACATGTATTTCTGCAAGGATACGTTCCGTGTTGTGTGTGTGTGTGTGTGGTGTGTGTGTGGGTGTGTGTGTCTGTTTGTGTGTGTGCTGATTGGATGTGGATCAGCTGTCTGTGTTTGTTCAGTAGCGGTGCTGCTGCAGGAGTGTGTTGTGCGGCCGGTGCGTCGGTGCGTGCAGCAGCTATTTTAGGCTCGGCGGTGATGCTGCTGCTGTTTTTTTGATGCAGTACTTCTCTGTACCCTTTGAAGGACAGGTTGAGATGTAGGTAAAGGTATAGACCAACAGAAGCACCTCCTGATGTAGCAGCCAAATTAAACTGGAGGCATTATCAACGCTGGTGACATGGCAGACTTTTCTGGGTACACACGTGTATGCGCACAGCCCAAGTTATTTCAGTACATGCACATTCACTTCCTTTTCCACTGCTTCATTTTGTCTCTGTTAACTCTGCCTCTCTGTTTGTCCATATTTCCTTGCCTGCCTCACCACTTTTACTCTCCCCCCACTTTGCATCTTCCTCCATCTCTTTATTCTGTCGGCTTGGCAGCAGGAAAGCTGTGTGTGTGCCCACCTCTGTCCTCTGCTACTAAGCATGTTATGTAAC